GGGTTCAAATAAAAACCACTCAATTTGTAAAAATCGTGAAAACCTTATTCAACCAATCATAATTTTTTATTTTGTTCATTTTTTTGTAATTATAAGAGATTGATTAACCATTTTTATTGTGGAGGGTGTTAATCATGGATATTATCATCGTCATTATTTTAATTTTAGAGAAATACATGAAACAGTTTTATTAAAAATTTATTAAGTAGTATATGAAACAATTTCATAACCACATATGAAACAACTTCATCAAAAAAAGTATTATATGAAACAATTTCATAACCACATATGAAACAACTTCATCAAAAAAAGTATTATATGAAACAATTTCACAAGATTAACAATTTCATGAAAAAAATTCACAAGATTAACAATTTCATGAAAAAATTTCATAAGATTAACGACGGATGAGAGTAGTTTTACGGTTTTTATAAATTGGAGTGGTTTTCATTTGATCGCTCCTATATATATATATATATATATATATATATATATATATAATCATATTTTAGGGGTGCTTATGGGTTGAGTTGATAGGTTGAAGTCATTTGAACAACCCAACCCAACCCAATGTTTGCGGTTTGAAAATTTTTAACCCAACCCAAACCGTACGGATTGGTCGAGTTGATACTTTAGTACATTAAGATATTTTTCTAAACTTGAATATGTTATTTCTGTACTTATAATTTCTTTTTCATTATCAAACATTTGATACAACTTATCCATACTTCTTACGTATATCACATTCAGTTTTTTTTCTCAATTTACATGTATATGTTCACAGTTACTGAACATATATACGAATGAGTTATATATAGATGTGAATAGATTGAAAATATGTGTATATGAAGAGCATACATGATAGGGTAATTGTCTAATGCATATGTTAGTAGATATTCAACAATCATATTAAATCCAAGAAATAAAAGAATATCGGGTTCATTGAGTTGGGTTGAATTTAAATAATAGTAACTCAATATCAACCCAATACCTACAGGTTTGAAAAATTTACAACTCGATCAGATATAGGGTTGCTTCGGGCTGAGTTATTTCACGTTGGGTTGGATTGATCGAGTTAATTGGGTTTTTGAGCATCCCTAGTAGGACTTGTATGTAATATATTTTAAAATGTGTTAAAAACATTTGTTTTGTGATAATTAATTAACATGAAAGTTTAATTGTTTTTATAATTATTTATAATTTATTTTTATAAATTATATATAAATAACATAATTCAATTTTATTTTAAATCCTACAAACCAGCTACATTAAAAATTTCAAATCTGAATTCCAAAAAAATTCTTCGCAATAAAAAAACCATTCTTTCAAATCAAACGTTTTCTAGAAAATTTAATAGAATATGAATACAAAAATCATTTCTTTTAATTGACGTGTACAAAATTCATGCTTTATTACAATATTATAACTTTAGACAGACGTCTAAAAAAAATTCCTGGCTTTCCAAATGAGTAGTCTCTTTGAGGAAAGTGCTTACCACGTATTTTCAATAAAATTTCTCATTTTAAATAATTAAGTTATTAAACTAATTTTTCTGATGTACTCTTACCCAACAAGTGTTTACCAGGTAAATTGTTGCATACGGTATTGTTCTGGTGAACCACAATCTTACATGGTAAAAATAGGGTCTTGGGCCAAGAAACTCGATTTTTGTTGGTTTCATTCATTTATATATACACGATAATCTTCTTGTTGATTAATTAATCTTGGTAATAATGTTCTTTTACGATAGAAATCAATGGACCCTACAACTATGAGCTTGATACTTACTATCGACAAAAAAGAACAAAGAACCGTTGCTTGTTCGAGCCAATAAAGATTTTGTGGATTTCAAATTTAGCCTTCTCATTGTACCAACTGCTAGATCTCAACACTGATTACATGGTTTATGAACTCAAAAAACATGTTTATTGCATCCTAAATCCCTGATGCGCTTGCCTCATCTCTACTTCCTTGATCGCTGCCAAAAAAGTTTTCGGCTCTCCAATCATCGCAACCAGAACACTTTACCAATGTGATAGATGCATCACCAACACTTCTTTTTCTTCAAGTTAGGTTAGTAGATGTTTGGGTCGTGGTTGTTATATGTCTACTCCTGTCATACTGTCATGTACTATGTTCAAAACCTGTCTCCAACTTCGTTAGCCGTCACAAAAGGCAGAGGAAAGGGATTTGTACTTTGATCCATCTTCCATAATCCTTTTTGCTTAAAAAGAACATCAAAAACTTGGATGAAATAGAGGAGACGGTTGTTCATATAGGCAAGGACGAAGTAATTATTTTGATTATATACTAAGGAGTTGTTTACTAAACACTTATTGTTTCTTATCGGGTAAAAACATCTGCTCATAATTTTGAAAATAAGACTTCGAGGATTCTTACACCAAGAGATTTTTCAAAATCTTCTCCAAAATGGAGAAAATAGAAGAGAGAGGGAAATTCTCTAAATTTGTAGAACTCTTAAAAATGATCATTTACGAAAGATAAATGATTTTTTTTAATTATATACTCACCAATAAGAAACTATGTTGTTAAATGTTTACGAGAGAGAAATAATATTTTATAACATATATAAAAATATTATAATCTATACTATATTATAAATCATTTGACAAAAACTCTTAAAAACGACTTTTTATGCGTAAAGTACTGTTTATTAATGCATATTACTTAAAACTCAAGATTGCAAGTAGATTTTGCGTAAGTACAAATTATTAAAACTCCATATCTGAATTCGTATAACTAACTGCAGATAAACATCCCATTCTAAATATAAAAAATCTAAAATATAATTAGGATAATCATTGAGTTATAATAGAATACTCAATTGTTATCTTCATAAAATGTTATATTATTAAACCAAAAATAAATTATTTCGTTATTAAACTTAAATTAAATTATAATAAAAAAATAAATTAAAGAAATTACATAAAAAATGAGAACATTTAAATAGTTGATTTGATATTAACATTAATATTTTTTTTTCAAATTTATATTTTATTCAAAAATAAAATAATTATTGTTTTCTTAAAAACACATAAAATCGTATTATAACATTGACAGACACAAATAATAAAATTGAACATTAAAATCGAGATGTATCTCGTTGGATTTCGCAAGTACTCTTCTAGTAATATAATTAATGTTGAAATTTTAAAAATGAAGAATCTGTTGTAATTGAATGTAATATCGTCTTCAAAGACCATTTTCAAGAAATTTTGAAGAATTAATTGTAGATAATCTAAATAGTGCCGATTTGGTAAAAAAAGACAAAATGACCGAAATACCGTCAACCAAAAGCATTACTACTAACGTGTTATGAATTATTTCCAAGGTAAAATGCACACGGAGATAAAGATGCATAAAAAAGTGCAAGCACAAGACCCGTCATATCCTCTTTCAACCCAAAAACCCGATCTTTTTTTAAAGTATTGAAAAGGGAAAATTGCACCAAAATGGAACCAACTTTCACCTGATTTCTATTTTGGGGAACCAACTTTCAAAATCGTCATTTTGGGGAATCAACTTTCACTTGATTTTTATTTTAGGGAACCAACTTTCACTTGATTCCTATTTTGGGGAACCAACTTTCAAAATCGTCATTTTGGGGAACCAACTTGGACCTGATTCCTATTTTGGGGAACCAACTTTCAAAATCGTCATTTTGGGGAACCAACTTGGACCTGATTCCTATTTTGGGGAATCAACTTTCAAAATCGTCATTTTGGGGAACCAACTTGCATTTGATTCCTATTTTGAGAAACCAAGTTGCAAAATAATTATAGAAAAATAACTAAAATTCATTTCTTTTCAAAAATTAATGCAATAAAATCTATTTTTCATTTCAAATCTCGTTTTTTTAAATTCAGATATCAAATTGAAGATTTTTCGAAAAAATCCAAATTACCACGATAAAAATTATTTTTTTTCTAATGCAATAAAAAAATCAATTTAATAGAAAAAAATTAATTGATGCAATAAAAAATAAATATTAAATATCACATTCAAGATTTTTATATCTAACAAATCTATGTCAATATTAAAGTTTAAATCAAATTTGGCAAATCCAACCAAAAGTTAGATAGAGACCCTTAAATTATCTGTTACCTGTTCAACAGATCAATCAGACCCTTAAATAAACAAAAAGTTCGATAGAGACCCTTAAATGATGATTTTAAAAGTTGGTTCCCCAAAATAGGAATCAGGTGAAAGTTGGTTCCATTTTGGTGTAATTTTCCCATTTTTCTATAATTATTTTTCAAGTTGGTTCCCCAAAATAGGAATTAGGTGCAAGTTGGTTCCCCAAAATGACGATTTTGAAAGTTGGTTCCCCAAAATAGGAATCAGGTAAAAGTTGGTTCCCCAAAATGACGATTTTGAAAGTTCGTTCCCCAAAATAGGAATCATGTGAAAGTTGGTTCTATTTTGGTGCAATTTTCCCTATTGAAAACAAACTTGGATATCCCGAACCTTGCACCTCTCTATACATCGGTGACTATTATTGCAGTTTTTGTGAAGAACGAACCACTTTCGTAGTTTTGTAGAACTACATGGACTAAATTGTAGTTTACTCTAAACTCTAAACTCTAAACAAAAATAAAATATTGGGCCAGAAAGATTGGGCCATTATGGGCCAATCCAGAATGGTTTCAAGGCCCATCTTATACCAAGAGATCCATCCGATATAAATCTCTATACGAGTCTACCTCGAAACCCTAGTTCGCTGGTGTATCGTCTCTTCCTCATTTCCCTTTTGCAGGTACGTTTTCGGTATGTTCTTCATTTAATTCTTCTTGTTAGGGTTTCAAATTGCTTGAGCAATTTATAAGATTGAGAGTATATCATGTATGCTCATGACTTCAGATCTGTTGGTTATTTGCTTTTTTTTTTACGTTTTCCAATTTTACATGCTTCTGATGGACTCTTTTTTTATGAACTTTAGTTGATCGATTTGGAGGAGGTACGGTTACCTATGGCTCCCGCTAAAGGTTCGTTTTTTTTTCTTCTCGTTGGAACAACTTATCGCTCTCATATGTAGCAATTTTTTCTCAATATGCTTGATGTTTAGGGTTTATGGATTTCTGAACGTCAACGTTCTTTTGAGTTTTTTTTTTTTTTTTTACATTTAACAAACAAAATTCCTGTTTAGATATTGTATTCTGGCATTAATCTGAGATTGTTGAGCTACAAGTAGTAAGTGTATCTGGGTGGAAGAGGCGCCATTAGTTATCGTGATAGGCTGTAACTTATGAACTTCAGGTTTAAATGTATATATGTATGATTGAATGATTTGTTATCGAATTCTGGCTTGTTTTTATGCTGGACCTTCTGTTTATTTAGGACATTACTTACGTCTTTAGCTGTTATGATAGCAGCTTTTTGTGGGGATTGTGCTGTTACTTGGTCTAATTGAATTTAGCACACAGAATGGAGGGAATAACATTGTTACTGCAGGAGTTCTTTCTTTCATATGAGCTTTTTTTCATATATATGTAGACATTGGTTATGCTCCACTTATGTGCCAGAGATATTAAACTTCAACATAAATCTGTAAAATTATTACTTTACTTTGTCTGATATGATAAAAAAATGTTTTTCCTTTTTTTCTAGTAGTAGCTAGAGATAGTTTTTTGGGATTGGAGTTTAACAACTATGGTATTGGTGTTGCGTGTAAAATCAAGGCAGTCTGTTGGCATGTTAAATCTTGGTGAGGCCCTCAAAATTTCGAGGCTCAATTTCGCTTGTTTTTGGGACCTGGATTTATCGAGCCCAACATGTGAACTCATCTTAATGAAAACCTATTCAATTTACTCTTAAATTAAAAGCGACTTTAATTTCAGATTTTGTCGATCAAAAACAAAATGACTCGTCAGTATTTTTCTCGCTTTGCCATTTTAAATATTTTTGTTGTTTTAGTTTGTAAGATTTTTAATATGTTATGAAGTGTATCTATTATTTTATTTATTAGTCCTTTCATACGATCTATAGTTCAGTATGGTTATAACATGCCTCAAAAAGATTGTAACGACTCTATAAAATAGTTTATGGGGATGGATTTTATAATGCAACTTGTGGGTGCTTTCATTTGAGCAAATTTTCACTTTCAAGTTACGGACTGTGTAGTGGTCTTTAGCTGATGCACCTATTCATTTTTACAGGTGATGTTACGAAGAAAGGTGATGCAAAGGCTCAGGCGTTGAAGGCCGCCAAAGCTGTGAAGACAGGTTCAACCTTTAAAAAGAAGGCTAAGAAGATCCGTACCAAGGTCACTTTTCATCGACCAAGGACATTGAAGACAGACAGAAACCCAAAGTATCCTCGTATCAGTGCCCCACCAAGAAACAAGCTTGACCACTATCAGATACTCAAATACCCATTGACCACAGAATCTGCAATGAAGAAGATTGAAGACAACAACACTCTGGTTTTCATTGTTGACATCCGTGCTGACAAAAAGAAGATCAAGGCTGCAGTGAAGAAGATGTATGACATCCAGACCAAGAAAGTCAACACTTTGATCAGGTATTTTAATGAATTAGTCATTTTAGATCTCTTACTGCAAGCTTGTTAATGTTTTGGAGAATCTTTTTGATTCTATTATAGAATGCTAATGACACTATGTTTATATGTTTATTTGCTTCTGTACTGCACAGACCTGATGGAACAAAGAAGGCTTATGTCCGGTTAACTCCAGACTACGATGCGTTGGATGTTGCAAACAAGATTGGTATAATCTAAGGTAACATGTCTTTTCAGTTTAAAGGAGGAATGTATGGCAGTTTTGTTAGTTTTATTGTTTTGGATACTACTTCAAGTTTAATGCGATTATATTCAATTTGGATTCAACGTTGCTAATCGAGCGTGATTTAGCTGCTTCAAGCAATTTTGTTCTGTTGGGTTTTTATTTATCACGTACTTTTTTACTTATGTGATATGAATATTTTGCATGACCAACAGATTGTGGTTTCATTTGCTGTTTACAGTTGGAACTAATTTGGAATACAGAGTGCATGCACATTGTACATGACTCATATGGGCTATTGGTGTTTCTGAGGTATTTGAAATTATATTTTTACTGGGCGTTTGGATGTTCGGATTGAAGTAATGTTTGAGGGAAGCAATTGGAATTGGAATTTTTGGCAATGGATCATTATTTATTAAAACAAATTATAAATAATTAATTTACTTTCTTATTAATTAGTTATTAGATAACAAATGTTTCTAATATATTTTAAAACGTTATTATATACAAATCCATATGAAATACAAACCTTCCGATTTTAGAATCCTATGTTTGTGGGTAGGAAATTTCTCAAACCATTCAATCTACATACAAATACACGATGGATGTTAATACTCTTCATGAGCCTAAATTCGGATATTCTGCAATTTCTAATTCCTGCACTTTATCAAATGGTTTTTTCATTCAAAAAAATAATTTAATGGATAAACCGTTCAAATAGAAAATTTTGTTAAGATTTTGAACTTTCCCTTAAAAAATGTATGATTCTGTAAAAGAAGATGGTGTTATATATACATATTCTTTTCGGTTAAAAGCAATTTTTTTATAAACAAATAAATAATTAAAAAATGTAAAATTAAATTAAATCTTAATTCAAATCCTACAGGCCATATCTATATCTATACTATATTATAAAGCATTTAACAAAAATTCTTAAAAATCAATTTTTATGCGTAAAGTATTGTTTATTAATGTATATTACTTAAAATTAAAGATTGCAAGTAGATTGTATGTAATTATAACTTATAAAAGCTCAATATCTAAATTCGTGTAACTAACTATAAATAAATATAATCAAATACAAAATAAACATCTCATTTTAAATATAAAAAATCTAAAATATAATTAGGATAATCATTGAATTCTAACATATTACTTAATTATTGTTTTTATAAAATGTTATATTATTAAACCAAAAATAAATTATTTCGTTATTAAACTTAAATGAAATTATAATAAAAATAAATAAATTAAAATAATTACATAAAAAATGAAAATTTTTAAATCATTGATTTGATATTAACATTGGTATTTTAAAAAAAAAAATTATGATATCTTTAAATTTATATTTTATTCAAGAATAAAATCATTATTGTTTTCTTAAAAACATATAAAATCATATTATAATATCGACAAAGAAGACAATAAAATAGAACATTAAAATTCATATTTGTCTCGCTGAATTGCACAAGTACTCTTATAGTATAATTTATAAAGGAATGAAATCCAAATTCATACTATATCCTATAAACCGGACACATACAAGATTCTAAATCCATTCAAATTCAAATCCCTCTATAAAATTTGAATTCCTAAACCCAAAGGGTTTGAGATTTGTATAACAACTTTTTGTCATGTTTTTTATTAGAGCATCGATTACCGGTTTCAAGACGATTTGATCCCAAATAAAACTTCAAATAAAGTAACGACAAACGTATTAAATTTACAAAATCATATATTTAGTTAAAAAAAAAAGAATGAAAAGTCTCCTCCCCCATTCCACCATTTACATACATGTAAACATACAATCTCTTCTTCGTTTTTGACTATCTTCTTCGTTTTTGACTATCTTCTTCGTTCTCGACATAAATGGCGGAAGTGAATTTGATTGCTATGATCCAGAAAACCGGAGAAAGAGTTTTGAACAGATAAGAACTTTTTGATTTTTCTCTTTTCTCTAATTTTCATTCCGACAAATCAATGGGTTGTTTAAGGAAGGTTTATCAAAGTGTGCATGGGAAATGATTTCATGGTATGTGATAAAAGAATATATTTTAAAACCTAAAGTCCATCTCTCCCCCATCCCTTGTTTGATGAAATTAGAAAACTACTCTATTTTTGTTCCAATCACCACTCTTGATCTTTTCAGGTGTCAGTGTGGAAGTCAATCTTCTATGTTATATATAGGATTAACTGTCAGTGTCGTAAACGCACAATGGAAACTCCTCTCAAACACTATGTTCCAAATTCAAAACCTACTTCTCTGGATGTAGAAACAAGTGGTTTTTGTAAAGGGAGGAGGAAAATACAGTGGAAGAGATAACCTTTCAGCGAGTTCAAAGTCTAGCTTCTCTTTCTTAGAATGCTTTAAAACGGTGAATATTGTGGATTTGAATGAATTGGAGGAAAATATTGTAAATTTTAATGTGGAAAAGGTAAATTATCATCAAATATATATATATATATATAGAGAGAGAGAGAGAGAGAGAGAGAGAGGTGTGAGTTATTATGCAACTTTTTACATTTATACAACCAATACAACTCAATCTCAACCGTCCATTTAATTTGATGAATATATGTGATTTCATAAAAGTTTTGATTGTTTCATAATATAAAGTATTGATCATAATTAATGAATTCTAGTTATCTTTCATAAATATTCAAATCATAAATGAACTTTTTCCATATATAGTTATTATGATGCCACTTTTATTATGGATTGAATCCCTTAACTTAACTCTCACAATTCTTTTACTGTTAGACTCCTCATATGATAGCGACAGTTATTGGATTATAACAACACTCAACCTAAACTTGATCTTTATGTAAGACTTTGTCTATCATTTGTTAATGATGATATTAGATTTGGTATTCGAAGTAATTCTTGTATTGATTAATAGAAAATGAATTTACCCTTTGTTATATTAATGAAAAATTTAAATTAGTTGCTCTTTTCAAATTTTAGGGTGTTACAATAATTTTGATCTCTGGTTTTTGATTGGATAAAAGGACAAAAATAACCTTTATTTAACCCAATTTTTTAACGGTCGTTAGAGGGAGAGACTGAATCTGGACATTTTTGCATGCCACAATGACCAATTTGTAATTTAAAAACCGTAGGAACCAAAAGTGTTATAACCACCAAACTATAATGACCAAATTTATAGTTTACTCCATTAAATATCATAAATACATACACTTATACTTTCTACCCATATGTTTATTTATCTAATTTGTAACTATAAGAGTATAAAGTGTAAATATTAAAAATAATTTCTAAGTATATATAATATATCTATAACATTTAATAATACATGATTAAATTAAAAAAATATTCAATATTAAGCTCATTTTAAATGTATTGACGATACGATTATAATCGTATAATTTATATAACAAAAAGAAACTTATTTTTAATGTATTTTAGTTAATATAAAAATATAAAATAAAAGATATAAAGTAAATTAAATAATTAATTATAGAGTATAAAGTTTAATTAAGTAAAAACGTGTCTTAGGCACATAAAACATTTGCGTAATACCAAAGGGCTTTTGGCTTAGCGGTATGTGAGTTTTTGGCCTTTTAGAAGGTCAAGGGTTCAAACCTCACCAAAGTTGAGAAGAGTGTGTGAGTTTATTTGTTCTATTTGTTGTATATAAATATTATATACTTCAAAAAATTAGAGAGCGTATAGTTGACGGGATTAAAATGAAATTTAATGAAATTAAAATGGTCAATTTGATTGATCGAACGTTTTGGTTTACCTTGGATGGAGTTGTTTTTGACAAAACTTGAATTGTAAACTACACCGTTAATGTTTCTTGTTGGTAGAGAAGATATTGTAAATAAAACTTCAAATTAAGGGGCCGTTTACTAAACGTTTATATGATAAGTGCTTATTGAGTAATTTTCCTTGCCGAATGAACATGACAATGATAAAAAATTTTACCTAGTAAGAGCAATGATAAAGATGAAGAGTCTTACTCAATAAGTGAGTGTGATGACTCTTACCCAGGTAAGCGCTTACCGGGTAAATTGTTGAATACAATAACATTTTGATGCACTACAATCTTATCAGGTAAAATATATTACAATGTTGATTTATAACGGTAAGCACTTAAAATGTAAGCATCTTAGTAAACGGCCCATAAGTATCGGCAAATGTTATATGTAGTTAAAACTAAAATAAGAAATTAAATAATAATTTTGTTTAAAAAAGGGAAAAGTACAATAAAAACCAATGAACTTTCTTGTTTGGAATGATTAAGTCCTTGAACTTTTTTTTGGAACAAATAAGTCCTT